GATAGTCTCCTGTGTCTATGCTTTTGCTGTTGTTCATCTCTTCAAACTTCTCTCTTATCACTTGTATTCCTACCTTGCTTGGTGATATTGCCTTGTTCATTGTTGGTTTCCTGACTGGTGCTTTTGATGAAGATGACGCCCCTGTTTCTTCCTGTGCTGTTTCTGCTTCATCTACATTGGGTGTCTTGTTGTCTTTGGGGATGTTGATTGTTGCTCCTAATGCTTGTGGTTGGGGTTGCTTTCCTCTTACTCTTCTTGCTTTGGGCGGTTTGGTGGTTGTGGATGGGTCTTCCTGAAATTCTCTCTTCTCCTGCGTTGGCGGTTTTGGTTTCTGTCTCTTTGCTTTGGACTGTCTCACGCTTAAGGGTTTCCTCTTTTCTGCTGTTGGTATTGCTGTTGTGTCCATTGCTTCTGCGGTGTCGGGCACTACATCTACGTTCATTTTTGATTTTTCCTCCTTTAACTTCTTTTGGTGATTTACCTTTTTGACTTGTTTGTTGATTAGTTTTTGTGTTGGTTTTATCTTGGACGGTTTCTCTTCCTCGTCTTCGTCGGGTATGATGGCGTCTGTCAGTTTTGATGCTATTAGTCCTCCTATTGACCCTCCCTTTGCTGTTCCTCCTGCTGTGGCGACTGCTTTGATGACTGGTTTGGATGATTTAAGGAAGTTCTTTAAGATGCTTCTACTGCTTGAAGGCGGTTCTTCGTCTTCTTGTATCCCTGCCGATGCTGTTGCTCCAACGGCGTCGTATGTTCCTTTGTTTGCCATATAGTGGTCTTGTGAATGACTTAAGTTTGCCTGTTCTGCTACTCTCCTTTCGTTCTCTTCCCTCAACTCTGCCTCTCTGTCAAAGGACATCTCAAAGTCGCTGATGGCGTCGTCCCTCAAGTCTGTCATATCTTCAAAGTCAAGGTTGGGTGTTTCTTCTTCCTTCCTCGCGGTCGCTTCCTCTGCCATCTTTTTGAAGTTCATTTGCTGTAAGTCTGCTGGGTGGATGTTGTTTGTGTTCAGTGCTTGACCCTGCGGACTTTCGTGAAAATACCAAGCGTTCCTATCAAAGATTTTTCTGATGTCATTGGTTTTGAACTTTTCCCTGTCTATTTCCTTGATGAGTTCTGCGTAAGTGGGTATTCGTGTCAATCCCTGTTTTGCGTTGATTACTTCTGCTGTCATTGCTATATATTAATACTTTAGATTTTTATATTAATCTTGTGTATCGCCTCTCAACCACTGCTTATACTCATCAATTCTCTGTTTCATATTCTGGACGTTCGCCCCGTAATCTTCCAATCTGTGATTTTTCCTCACCTCCCTCAACCTTGTCATTTCGTTCTGTAGCATCTCATTCTCTTCCTTCATCCTCTGCTTTACTTGTAAGACCTTGTAATCGTGCTCGGTGTTGTGATATTCAAGAAGACGCTTCAGGTAAAGATGATGGTTGTGAGTTGGCATCCTTGCCGTGTTGCTGTCGTTGTGGTAGTAGTGGTCATAACTACTATACACTTTTTTTCTTCTGTCTGGCATTTCGGGCGTTCCGCTCCGGTAATTGGCACTTTTGTTTGAATGGACGGTTTGTCTTCTGTTGATGTCCTTGCGGACGTTTTCGTAGATGTCAGTTTTGTTGAGTTCCGTTTTCTGTTCCTTGATGTTCATTTTTATATATAATACTTTATAAAATTTTTGATGCTAAAGATTTCAATTTCTCTCTCGTCGCTTTGTTCTTTTCCTCTTTGGCTTTGTTGTAGGTGTCTCTGGCGGTCATTGCACTCTGTAGTTCTTCCTTCAGTTGCTTTACAAGGTCGTTTTTGAATGCTTCTGGGTCAAAAGGTGGTTTCGCCCTTGACGGTCTTACCCTTTTGGGCTTTGGCGCTGGTTGCGGTTTCTTTTCAACGGGTGGTTCAATTGTTTCTTCTGGTTTCTCCTCTTCTTTCGGTGCTTCCCGATAGGAAGCAGGGCTTTGCCGTGCTTCTTCCTGTATTGGTTCTGGTATTGTTTCTTCCTTGGGTTCTTCATTATCAATCTCTTTTACGACTACCTCTGTCATATATTAATATTATAGATAATTTTTTATACTTTCAAAATCTCGTGCCTCAAATACGGTTTGTTCAATCCTTCCAGTTTGAAGGTTCTGTTTCCGACATCATCGTATTCTATCTTGACAATTTTGTAGGATTGATTGCTCCATTTTGAGTTATACTCCTTCCTCTCGGTGTAGTTGTCTTTTTTCTTCTCAAAGACCTTGACCATATCATTCACTTTGACCTCTGGATATTTGCGAGTGTTCTTTTCCCTCCTTGTCAAATTCACCCTGACGTCCATATGGTTCTTGTCGTCGTGGGCATCCTTGGGTTTCATTTTGGTGGATGAATGGACGGTGTCGTTGTATTTATCTAACGCTTTGGACAACATTACAGTCCAACTACCGCGATTAAACCTCACCCTGTCGTGTATCATATTCTTCATTGTCCTTATGAAACGCTCCACAACATTGGCGTGAGTTAGGGTGACGACGTGAGTGATGCCTTCTTTCTCAAAGAACTCTTTTACCCCTGCTTGGAAGGCACGGTCATTATCACTATAAACGGACATTGGAAAACCCATTTTGTTGAAACTCTCTTTCATCGCCGACAATGTGATTGGTCCGGATTTTTCTTTCATAGGGACGACGTTTGCCAACTTGCTGAAGATGTCAATGACCACCAACCCATATCTCGGTTCATCGTTCTTGATGGGAATTTTCGTCTCTGGTTCTTTGGTAAGGGGTTTCATATCCATTATGTCAATCTGATATTCAAACCTTGCGAAGGGTGCGGTGTAGGAGTTTGACCCCCTGTATTTTCTAATCTGTTTGTTGGGCTGTTTCCTCATAAAGTTTTCCACATCCACCCTGTTGATGGTCTGGTCTTGCTCCTTGGCTTTCTTAAGGGTCTCATTGATTGAACCGAAGCCCGTTTCAAGATTATAATAGACATTGCTTATGATGTCATCTCTTGATAGTCTCCTTGCCATATATTATAATATTAGATTTTTAAAATTATCAACAATAAAAAATATACTTAAAGAAAAAATACCTATATATAGTAAGACTAAATAAGATGACTAAATTTGACTGTGGATGTCGTATAATGACAGATGTTATAACCCTGAACGATAGAAACCAACCTAATTGGAACTACTTGCTCAAAACCTTCGTGAATGTGTGTGGCAAGTGCTACAAGAAGCAAATGAAATTCCAATATATGGAAAACAAACTTATGGAAATGGAAAAGCAAAGAATGGAAATGTTTTTGGAAAATGAGGATGAGGAGGAAGACACATACTTTGACCTGACAGAGTTGAAGGAACATCTCAAAACCCTCCCACCCAATGAAAGACATAAAGTGAAGGATTTTGAGAGGTTAAGAAACCTCGCCAATGGACAAGACCCCAACGAAGGAATGAGTGAAATAGATATGGTCATAAGAGAACCGGAAGAGGAGGAAAGGGAAAATAAAAACCAACCCGAGCCCGAAAACTGAACGAGCCCCCCAAAAACTACTTAAAGAAAAATTACCTATATATAGTAAGAGGATGCTATTTACCTATAAAAACTGTGGATGTTGTAAAAAAGAAATGACTGACATTAAGGTTTTATTGAACAACATTTTTCCTGCTGGAATTTGTGATGAGATATGTGATTACAACCTTCACTGTTCAAAATGTAAAGAGTTGAATGATAAGGAACGCAGATATATAACATTCAACTATCATTTTGACCATTTTGAAGAGAAAGAACTAACAAGAGTTGAAAAACAAATACATTTCTTTAAAACAAGGATGGACAAATCACCTATCTATTTATCCAACACCGACCGAAAAAATGTAAGAGTAATGAAGAGAGAAATAGACGCTTTAATGGACACCTATAAACTGAAGGTAGAATTTCAAAAAGATAAGATATATCTTCAAGCGATTAAGTCTTATGTCAAAAACCATTGGAAATACACTTATCATATTCTAAAGAACTTTCACGACCTTAATTTCATCAATTACAGTAAGCAACGAAGATGCTGGTGGTTTCCTAATGTTGAACGAACTTTTATGTTTAGAAACAGGGAGTTCAAGATAAAAGACATTTTGGAAATTTTCTTGCGTGAATATGTTGAAGAACTGTTCAACGGTTATGAGAAATATTTGAACATAGAAGAAATAAAAGAGCACCTACAAAAAGTGATAAATACTTAAAGAAAAAATATCTATATATAGTAAGAGAAAATGAGTAGAGCAAAAATTGAGGTTATAGATACAGGGAATATTGGTATATATGCTGACTTTGGTAGTGATAGTGAGGACGATGATTGGGAAAGAAAACAAATAGAAAAAGAAGATGAAGAGATTAGAAACTTTGTAAAGTGCCATCCTATGCCTTCACCAGATGATGAGGAAGGAGAAACGTTTTGGAAGAAAGTAATTGATAGGATGAAATCAGGGGAAGGGGTAAAGGATATGACGATATATATGTTTGTAAATTTTGACATTATGAAAAAGATGTATGAAAACCTGACTGATAAAAAAATCATCATTGATTGTGGAAAGGAACTCAACCGTGATGGTGAATTCAACGCAATGATTATTAACATAACTCTTTTATCAATAGCGATGGATGAACTGAATGATACAAACAAACCCTGCTTAACACAAATGAGAGTGATTGAACACTGGTGGGATGGAATAGGAAAGTGGAAAGCATAAATGATTAATTCATAATATCTTAACAACACATATTATGAAGTAATCACCCACCCAAACACAAACAAAAACCCCAACAGCCTAAACAAATCCTACCCCCATTCAATCCAAACATTGACACATCACTTTAGCAACAAAATTACCCCCAAAACCCCACCTGAAAAAACATCAAAGGCGAAGATGAAACATTGAACCCCAACACAAAATCATAACAAGCAACATACAAACATATACGCTCTGAAACCCCCATTTTTCCATTTTTTTCCCATCCATGTCCCACGGCCAGAGCGGCGGCTGCGCCTGCCTTCCCTCCAGTGCCGAGAACAAGACGCCTTTGCAGGCGGGGAGTCGGGGGACTGGGACAAGGAGGACGTCCTGGAAGATGTTGAGATTTTGACCCAGGGTCACTTTGGTAAGGGCTTTCTTCGTTCAGTGGTACCTGTCTGGATTTGATCACCTGTCCACCTTCCACCTTCCGCTCAGCTCCGGACATGGCACGCCCGAGGAAAACATCGGGAGCCTCGGTGCTCGGATCGGGGTGTTGGCCATCCTGATCTGCGGCGTGGTCTTTCTCATCGGTCTGCTGATCAAAACCAAGGACCCGGAGTATCCTGACAACCCCAGCAGCTCGGTGGCGTAGTGAAAACGAGGTCTGAAACCACGGGATTTGAGGGGTACCCATGGGTACCCTGTTTTCAGATCCATCCGGATATTGGTTGAAGAGCTTGGACCTTTCTTCTTGGCAATCAGCCACTTCCATTGTTTCTTTGAATTAGATACGGGAGAATTCTGAGAGGTACAGGCTTTTTGGACACGGTCATAAGGTTGGAACCATGTCAGGGCTCCTTTGCAGGAACCCCCCTGGTGCGCAATGTTTTCCAGCGGTTTCAATGGTTTCCCACCATTTTTTTTGGGTGCTTTCTTGCTCCCTTCCCGGAAGGCCGCAGCCGGTCCAAGGCTGGATCTACATGATTTTGATCGCCGTGACGCTGGCGGTGGCGGCCATTCCGGAAGGCATCCCTTTGTGCGTGACCATCTCCTTGGCCATCGGATGTCAGGAGATGGTGGCGAAGAACGTTCAGGCAGGGCTACTGACCACTGGTCTCCCGTGGTTGTGAAGGATGGGAAACCTGGAAAGGTGGATCGGATATTGTGAGATTGCAATCCAAGAACAAGACTGAATGATACTGAATGGGTGTTTAGGTGATGGTGCTTTTGGGGTGATTGCTGTGTTGCCCAAAGATGATCTAAGGATTTTGAAGCGAAACTTGGCGGGTGGGGATCAAAGACCAGCCGAGGTTGTCCTCAGTATAGGATCGAAAGAGCCTTTGCTGGTGCACATATTACCACAGGTGATTCAAGAGCTATAGGGACTAGCACCAACCAACGAAAATTGGCAGAGATTTGGCGCAAACCATTTTTGACTATCCGTTGGATCTTTCGCTGTGCAGAAACCTCAGGGTTCCAGCTCAAGATTGGGCCAGACAGGAATTAAACCAAATCTATTTATATCTATTTTATGTTTTTTGATAGTTCGTTGTTGACTGCACATTTTCTATGACGTGTATTCTTTGGTGAACTCATATATCAATTGTTGGTATGATTATTCACCCTAGTCACCCCATAATTTTCAGCTTCACTCAAACACCATTGGGCCATCAAACGTTCCCAGGTTGTTTTTGGCATGTGAACGTCAACGTCCCTCTTTGGCCAGGTACGGAAGATCGCGGCAGTGGAGACCTTAGGTTCTGCATCGGTGATCTGCAGCGACAAGACGGGGACCTTGACGGAAGGCGGGGCCGAAGAAGGGGCCTGGCGGGTTGGTGCTTGGAATCGTTTCTTTTTCTCTCTTGAAATATGTGTGGTAAATCTCCGTAATATGTCTCTCCCGATTCTTTGCCAAATACCATCCTGAAACTGGTATGGAACCCAAACATGGGCTTTCGAAATTTAAGAGGATGATTTCCTTTTTGAAACTTGCTAGTTTGATCTAGTTTGAGCTTCCGCGTTAGTTTTCGGGTCCCATAAAAAAGCAAAGAGAACAGATTATTTGAAATGCCATAAAGGATGGTCCGTATAGTGTATGCCAGTTATATTCGACTCCTCCAGCACAAAATCATTGCTTCGAACAGTGACCTGCAGCCTTTGGGATAGTCTGTAGGGATGGGTTGTATATCCGAGTGCCATCTGGCCCCTTCCAGTTTCTGTGAACCTCCTGCAAATTTCCAGTTCCCTTGGCAGTTTCATACCATTTCCACATAGGTCCAGCGAATATCCACCGCTTTTCAGCGAAGATCCGCATGTTTCCATACATCTACAGCCAGTTTCCAGGGGAAATGCGCAGGAAACACATCGGAAATTCCAGCAATTCCTGCGCTTTGAGAGGCAAGATGACCATGACCAAGATGTGGTCCGGTGGTTTGGAGTACAACGTCACCGGGCAGGGCTTCGACCCAACGAAGGGCGCCGTCTTCCGCGCCGGCGTTGTGGCGGCGCCGGGGAGCAACAGCAACCGGGAGCTGGGCGTGCGCAGCACGCTGCTGGCGGCGCTGCTGTGCTGCGACACGCAACTCTTCTTGGAGGAGGCATGGGAGAAGATGGGGATCATAACAGGATGGGGCCCCCAAGATAGCTAAGGTGCCTTATGAGTGGCTGAATTCTATGGTTCATGGTAGATTCTGGTGGATATAACTATAGTATTCATGGGGGTTATAATGGTTTATAAACCAACTTATAACTGGGGGGCACCATCCTGCATGATGATGGTTCTTGATCATGTGCATGAGTTACTATAGTATTGAGGACCATTAACATTATAAATTATATATATATACATTATTATTATTATCATTATTATTGTTATGGAGGTACCCCGATAGCTGGATGTTTTTTTGATGGAATATGTTACTACAACAACGGATCATTTGGGGGTACCCCCATCCTAGGAAACCTCGAAATGAGGGATGTTTGTTCGCATTTGTATTAACTACTATGATGATCTACAATGAATATTTGGACTTATTACTTGTATTTCGAGTTAGTATTATGAAGCAATATCTTTATTAAATGACATTATTAGTATTGTTTGTTTTGTTTTGTTTGATTTTGTTTTGTGTTGTGTTGTGTTGTTGTTGTTGTTTGTTGTTGTTTGTTGTTGTTTGTTGTTGTTTGTTGTTGTTTGTTGTTGTTTGTTGTTGTTGTTTTTTGTTGTTGTTTGTTGTTGTTTGTTGTTGTTTGTTGTTGTTTGTTGTTGTTTGTTGTTGTTTGTTGTTGTTTGTTGTTGTTTGTTGTTGTTGTTGTTTGTTGTTGTTTGTTGTTGTTTGTTGTTGTTTGTCGTTGTTTGTCGTTGTTTGTCGTTGTTTGTCGTTGTTTGTCGTTGTTTGTCGTTGTTTGTCGCTGTTTGTCGTTGTTTGTGGTTGTTTGTGGTTGTTTGTCGTTGTTTGTTGTTGTTTGTTGTTTGTTGTTGTTTGTTGTTTGTTGTTTGTTGTTTGTTGTTTGTTTGTTTGTTTGTTTTTTTTTGTTGTTGTTTTTGTTGTTGTTGTTGTTATTGTTAGAAATAATAATAATAATCGTCGTAGTAGTAGTAGTAGAAGAAGAAGCAGTAGTAGTCGTCGTCGTAGTCGTAGTCGTAGTCGAAGTCATCATAATAGTAGTAGTAGTAGTAGCAGTAGTAGCAGTAGTATCAGTAGTAGTCGTAGTCGTAGTCGTAGTCGTAGTCGTAGTCGTAGTCGTCGTAGTCATCGTAGTAGTAGTCGTAGTCGTAGTCGTAGTAGTAGTAGTAGTAGTAGTATCAGCATTGTTAGAACTATCAGTTTTACTAGCAGTGTTAGTATTAGAAGTATTAGCATTGGCAACATTATTAGTGTTGTTAGAACTATTAGTATTCGTATTACTAGTCACTAGCACTATTAGATTCTTCGTGTTATTAGTATTCTGACTATTCTTACTATTGCCTATACCATCGTTAGTATTACCACTATGATCCTATTGCTTCTATGATTCTCTTGTTACTATTATAGTTGCTATAGCAAATGCTAGTGTCATTTCCCTTAATGTGGGTAAAACAATGCCATAAACCATCCCCCAGTCATCACCATATTTATAGGTGGTATGTAAAAACCATTCCCAGTATCGGTGGTCTATGGTGAAAGTCGCCGCGCCGATCCCGGCAGGATCCCTCCACGGGCGAAAGGACCTGGCAGTACCGGGGCAATTCCTCAGAGGCGCCCATCGTGGTGGCGGCGCGCAAGGTCGGTTTGCCTGAGGATATCGTTTCTCAGCACCTTGGAGCAACGGATTCAGTGGAGCTGCGCAGTGCGGCTGCCAGGTTTTTTTTGGTCCTGAAAGGTGTGTTAAATAAAAATTCTATATAATCATTGGGCAATCATAGTTCTACATATTACGGTGGGATATCATAATTGTAGAATTGCGGAAGATATTGGGCACTCACTTTGGATATTTCGTTGGAAGCTTAAAATGGCATGCTGATGTTGCAGAACTCGATTGGATGCGATGGGACCTTCCGAAACAATGCGAGGGTTGGGCATATAAATCTTCAGCACTTAGGTATGGAGTAAAAGATCAAAGAAAACTCTGCAAAATTTGGACGGTTGGTTCTGGTAGGCCTCAAAGAGGTCCCCAAAGTGTCACGAGTCCCCATACCAATTTCTCGGTGAGTTTTGTGAGTTGTGAAGAGCCCAACAAGGGGAGGAATCTGACAGGTACCGCCGGATCCTAACCATCCCTTTTTCCTCGTCACGGAAGATGATGCTCACGGTGACAGAAGTTGCAGGCGCTGCCCTTGCTGTTTGATTCGAGTGAGATTTGGATGTTTGCAACTCTGCGGGTCTATGGGTGTGTCCCAAAATTGGGGGATGCAAAGAACACTTATCGATTGATGATTAAGCTGTCTACAGCCCTATTTATTGCTGGTAAATTTCCATTGATTTCTGTTTATAGTTTTTTTTAAGTCATGGGGGGGGGATCCTAAAGTCACCATAGGTATATTAAGTCTTGATCATCCATGACTTGGATGATTTGGGGGTAGCCCCATAACTTAGGAAACGTCTGACATTTGTCAAAACAAAACCTATTATCCCATATTTGGGTGGAATATTCATTCACAAACCATCTATCTGGGTAAATTATAACGACCTCACTGTTCTCCCTCACTGGAATCATAGTTAATAAGGGAAATCATCCCCAAATGGGCCAACAATTCAGCTTAGTGAAATATTATAATTTACCCAGATCTATATATTTTAGGGTACCCTCCGCCCGTTGATCGGTTCACGACAGGTCGTACTCACCTCTGTGAGGGTGGAATGGCTCTGCCTCCGATGACCAGAAGCTTCACCGTTTGCAAGGGTGCGCCGATGCTCGGCAGCCGTGGTGAGTTTTCCTGGGAAAATGGGTAGTTTATACCATTTTATACGTGTTCTGTATAAGCATTGAACATTGGGGGGTTGAGCAACCAAACTTAGATGCGACCAACAAAGATATGGAGCGGTTTCCTTGGACAAAAATGGAGCCGCTAAAAAAGGCAAAAACGAGGAAATGGAGCCGCTCGGGAGAAATCCATCGCAGTCAAAGTCCTATAGGGATTTGCTATACCCGGCGAAAAGCCCAAACCTGGGAAAATCGCAAAAGCAATTACATGAAAAATTTGGCAGGTAATGACTGAGTCTTCACAAGAGGCATTGTCCCGCGAAGGAGACACATGGTTTTCGCGAATGGTTTTCGAAAGTACATGAATATAATTTCCCGAAGAATGGCTGCTTCCGGATAAATAGAGCTTAGATGAACCACCATGTATTTTCGGAACCACACGTTGAAAAGGTGTCGCATGGGCACCCTCCTGGCAGACCCAAATATCGTTTGTTGGTGATATGATATATGCCCTATATTCCATTATGGTAGCCCCCAAGATAGAACAGTACCACTATTTCAGTACGGATTTCACTTTTCTATAGTTTTTTTTGAATTGCTATGTGTGACATCCCTTGATATGGGGATGGATCAATACCTATTAATACAATTTTTAGGGGGATGAACATCCATTTACCAGCTATTTTGATGTTCACCAGGGGTACAAGGTTTTGACACACTGCCATATTCCACATTCTTCCGCAGCTGTTAGGAATTGGATCATCCAGAACTGTAGCAGCATCCTGCGAGCTGATGGTTCCATTGATCCTCTTTCAGAGGCCGAGAAGCAGCAGATCAACACGCAGGTGGTCGACGCGCTTCTCGGCGTGAAAAAAGCGCCACGGGAACGGAGTGAGTAGGATTGTTACCCTCTGGTAATTTAACATAGCTATGGAAAATCACTATTTTTATGGGAAAATCCACTATAAATAGCAATTTTCAATAGCTATGTTAAATTACCAGAGGGTACCATCAGTTTGTAGTGGCAATCACGATTAACCCAGGAGTAAGCCATGGTCTGTGCGGGATTTTATGGGTTTGTTTCTGTCCTGCAAACGGCACACATGTGTTTTTTGGAACAACTTTGAGTTGTTTTTTTGAGATGTCTTGGGAGCTTAGAGTTGTTCCAGACTTGGAAATTGTGGTTTTGAATGTTTTTTTTGAGATGAAGATGCATAGGTTCAGTGACACTGACTTTGTTTGGGAAACGACGTTTTTCCACACATTTTTCGTCACATTCTTCTGTTGGTATGGTGAAATCAAACGTTTTCCTGGGATAAAGCATCATTTTTGTGGGATAAATCATCATGTTCCAGTCTTTTTGTGGAAGATCCAGGTACTCCGACCTGGCTCTTCGCGTCTTGGCTGTGGCAGTGGGATGCATTCAGCAGCCGCCCTTGGACTTGGAAAGTGAGGAGAGGTCTGGTGGGGGAAATTGGTAGATCCCGGAGGTTCCTGGAAAATTGCAGGACATCCTTAGGGGGGGCCAAAAACACCTTGCTGTTTTGTGAAATTTTCCTGACACTGAGCTGACAGACAGTTCTTCAATCCCTCCGCCTTTGCATCTTCAAAGTATGAAACGGTTATTTCACAAATATCAGCACTTGTGTCAACCCAACAGTGCTCTGTTTCCAAACTACCGGATGGTTTCAGGACATCTCCGTAGATCAGAAGTTTGAAGCACTGAAGTGACTGGTGCGGCAATCCGGGGCCGGGACTGGGGAGCTGAGGAGCCATGGTTGATCCATGTTGGGCCAGCCCAATTACCCCGCCAGGCAAACATTGGATGGGTAGTTTAATATTTCCATAGAACAGGGTAAGAACGAACCAACCTTCTAAAGATCCAATATTGCTCATGTCTACGTAGACTAATAGTTGGGAGTAGTGCATGAATTATTCAATAATATCAAGAACAGAAACCATCAATGTAGCCAGTTATCATTACTTCAATGCAATATATAAGTTCTTTTAATAGATCCGATTTAACGCGTTCATTCCACGTACAATAGCGGTCATTAGCCAATACACAACTATTACCATCATAGTATAAGCTCACTGGATCTCATGGCCGCCCTGGCCTATGCATCATCATATTGCTACTCTTATATGGGTATATATATATACATATATATATATATGGGTTATATAACATATAATATATAATTATAGTTGAACAAGCGGTAACCAATAATTATTTCAATGGATTGAAATTGACTTAACTCTCTTGGTTGATAGTTGTCAACATTCAAAGGAAGATAGCCAAAGCATATTGGACCAAAACATCGCTTCTTCATCAGAATCATATCAAGAACTACAATCACAAAAATAACCATGATAAAAACAATGGTAATCATGCAATCTTATGGGTTAATCCCTTTCCCCTAATATAAAAGACCTCCCAGAGTCACCATAGTAAAAAGTAGGGGATAAACATGGCTACCTACGGCGTAGTTAGCGACCCCAGGGAAAACGCACCTTTTTTTCAGCGGCTCTGAAGACAAATCGTGGTATTTACAGCATTTTTGTCTCTGGTGTCAAGGTTTCTATTTGAAATTCGCATGGCAGGCGCGAGACGGCACACCCTTTTTTCTATTTTGACTGTGTTTTTCCATGTATTTTGAAGGTCATCGTTTTCTTTCGCCAACTTGCCAAGCTGACTCTAGAGTTGGCACCCACAGTTGTGTCTGAACATGAAACTTTTGACAGTGTCGAACAAGTGCTTGGCCACACGTCGATCCTTTGGATCTCTTGTTCTAAGTGCAAGTGCAAGAGAAGATCTCACAGCGTAGCATGAAACGTGGGTGCAAGTGCAAGGAACTTCATTACGCCCCCCACCCCTCCACCCCTCCACCCCCCCACCCCCACCCACCCGCCATCACACACAAAGTCAGCAAATCATCATGAATGCGTGACAATCCACAGCAGCTGAGGCGTTGACCTGAGAGGAGAGGTGAAAATGTGCAAAAATGTAGGGGTCATTAATGACGCCGTTGGCATAAATCATATGACAGGGACCAAACAAAAATATTGAGTTATTGAATATGAACGGGGGATGGGTGAAAAAAAACAAATCCATCAATGGATTGGTTTATGGGAAAAATCTTAACTGGAAACCATGGATTTTCCCAGTGAAATACTGTGAATGGTTGCGAAATCCTGCACCACCAAAAGGATGGTTGAAACCTTGTAAATTCTGGGATGTTCACCATCTATCAACTGGTGATGAACGGATTTCGCTGGCCCATCCACAGTATCTCCCCATCCCAGGTCGGGTCTCACCTTATGCGGGATGGTGGCATCCATGGACCCTGACCGAGAGGGTGTGCAGGAGTCGGTGCTGGCCGCACGCGGGGCCGGGATCCGCGTAGCAGCTCGGCGGCGCAATCCAGTTTTTTCATGGGGTTTTTAAACCATGAAACATGGTGATTTCATGTGATTTACCCTCTGGTAAACTAACATAGCTATGGAAAATCACCATTTTAATGGGTAAATCAACTATAAATGGACCATTTTCAATAGCTATGTTAAATAACCAGAGGGTAACAAGGATTTAATATCACTGAATGGGGATTTAACAATAAAACGTTGGGATTGAACCACAAACATTGGGATTGAATGGAGATCTTTTAACTCGTAGAAATAGGGATGATTCAACCATCAAAACTGGGATTGACAAGATGCTGAGTTCTAAAAGCATTAAACATGATGAAACATCTAACTTTTTGAGGTGAATCCCCCAAAGCAAACGTCATGGGAATGGGTCAAGTGATTGGGACAAGAACTGAATGGTTGGCACCCAAAAGGAATAGATCCAGTGCAAAATCAGGGTTTCCATTGGGTTTAAGATTGGGATAGGATTAAGCTGGTTTTCGAAACTCACACACTTAGACTTTCCCTCCTTGGGTTGATGGCCGTCCTGAGTCCCCCTCTCAAGGTGATGATCACTGGTGACTATTTGAAGACTGCCATCGCCATCGCTAGGTGGGGTCTCAGCGACTTAGATCCACAGGGATCCATGGTTTTGTATCTCAGAATCTCTTGGGATCTCCTGCATCAAATCCATGTCATGGTCAGAAATTGAGATGCTACAGCTTGAAACTCCAGCATTTCATAATACCAGGCGTGTTCTATGCTGGAAGAGGGGCACCTCTGAAACCTTGCATCGTCAAAAATTGGCACCAAGTCGGCCCCGCGCATCTCTCCACACTTCTCTCACACACACACACAGCTCCTGGGGTGGGTCAGATCACATCCCAACGATTGGGTCAGATCACATCCCCATGACATTTCGACCCATATTTGGCTGTTGCGGCTGTGCTACACTGCCACAGCATTCAATTTGGTGAATATCCCACCGTCCTTGCCAAAATATCGCCACCTTTGGATGGATGTCGGAGACATCCCCAGGATCTCTCCCTACCCGAATGTGCATCCCACTTGTAGACCCTGGTTTGCAAGCAGGGGTCAATGAATCCCTGTATGCCGTATCTAGGTGAAACAGCGCTGATTATTGTGCAGTTGAGCATGGCACTCATCCCCCTCAGAGTCCCAAAGAGGCTTGTCTCAAAGGATCGGTTCACTTTAATCAGAATAAATAGATAGCCACCCCAAAAACAGGCCCCCAACATTCTAAGTTTTTTTAAAGTTAAGTCTTATTCCCAACAGATTCCCAAATCCATCTAATCCCAATAGTTGATTTCCAAGTCATTTGAAGCAATTCTCTTTGGGGCCCAAGGAGGTGGGTTTAACGATTCGTTGCCTGAAGGCGTGTGGACATCCTCCAAGATCACGATAGTTTGACGGATTCGGTACCCTGGTTCTTCAGCGGATGAGGAGAAGGGGTCGTTTCACTTGCAAAACATAGGGGGTTGTCTCAAAATTGGATGACACTGTGACACCCATCCCTTTTTGGTTTAGTGACTTTAGTGTCATTCTATGTCATTTTTGATTATTTTTGCTATACATGTTTTTCTTTATTTTCATTCCATATTTTTCCCATTTGGAGGCCATGGGAATTTTGATCCAACAACCAATAGGGATCATGCTTGGTTTTTTTGAGCGATTTAACCTAGCGGCACGATTTCTTGATATCTCTTTCAGTGGCCCTGAAACGAACGGATATGTGGATTAATCAGAAACCAATCATATTTTGAGAGGGCTGAACGTCTAATTTACCTTCCGGGAATCAAACATATTAGTAGCAATGGAAAATTCCCAATTTTTATTGTAGATGATTTTCCGAGGTAGAAACATCTATTTATAAGGATGTTCGAGCTAGCCACGTTTCATTACCAGAGGGTACCAGGTATTTATTGTTCAAGGTGCCAGAGGGTTTGACTGCCATAGGCCACTGGGTGTTGAGGCAGTGGATTGCAACATGCTTCGCCCAGCGGGCGACGACCAATACCTCTGTGACGAAAAGATCGCCTGGAGCTCAGTGCCATTCCGAGGTGACGCCGATGGAATTTTTGAGGAGTTCATCTCAAACATCAGAAAAATTGACGAAATCTGATCTGGAATATTCAACAAAAACCAAGTCAAAGGGTGCTTAGAGAGGTGTTTTTTGTTTTTGGTTATCCCACTAAATCCCATGAAAATTTGATGATTTCTCATTAAATCCTATCAACCAACCACTGACCAACCAGCAGTTGAGGATGACATGACCTCCCGCGTGCGCGTCTTTGCGCGCGCCAAGCCGGCCGACAAGTTGGAGATTGTGAAGTCCTTGCAACGGCAGGGCTTGGTCTGTGCCATGCACCTTGGGCAGCGATTTGTTTGTTGGAATGGGCGACAGGTTTTCGTGAATGAGATATAAAATACATATACATATAAAATATATAATTTAATATAATTATATAATATATAATATATATATAGATATAATATAATGCGATAATAGTAATGATAACAATACTGCTAACAATAGTAGTGATAATAATAAAAACAAAAACAACAATAATAGTAATAATTAAAACAAATATATGTATCTACAGATCTATCGATCTATCGATCTATCTATCTATCCATCCATCCATCTATCTATCTATCTATCTATCTCTCTCTCTCTATATATATATACACACATACATACATATTATGTATTTCACGAAGAAATCTATACTTATCGGAGTGGTAATTGTCTGAGATATTCGAAGATTACGAAACATCCAAATCCATGGAGGAAGGAGACATTTTTATTGAATTTAGTATTAGCTGGAATTAGGATGTTTTCCACCTGAATTTGAGCTAAATCCAGCAGTTTTGGGAGGGATCGGGATTCGGACCCAGATCCAATTTCCATTCGAAAACTACATATATATATATATATATATTTAGATAGGATTCATGTCTTTTTCTTGGACTTCTCAACTCAACCGTAAATTCCGTTCAACCTCTCTAGATTCTAGAACGCAGAGACAGGATCGAGTTTAACATTTTTTTCTTCCGACCCACTCATACATATCCACTAATTAATAGCTATAAATATCCACAACTATTGATAACACTTCAACCCCCATCCTCTGCGATTTCGCCATGTCCACCGCCTTAACAGCCGACGGCTCCCCCCCGAGGACGGGCGACGGCGTGAACGACGCGCCGGCGCTGCACGAGGCGCGTATTGGCGTGGCCATGGGGCTGCAGGGCACCGAAGTGGCGAAAGGCGCTGCAGAGATGTGCCTGGAGCCGCAAGGATGGTCCGTTGCGGTGTGGCGGTGTGTTGAAAAAATGCTGGTGAACAATGGTGAATAGATGTGAATAGAGTGCTTCATAGTAACAGTTGCTCTGCGCCCTGGCGCGAGTCGGCCGAGGGTCCTGACGGATGACAACTTCACCTCCATAGTGAAGGCGGTCGAGAAGGGCCGCGCCATCTATGCGGGGATTCAGAAATTTGTGGCCTTCATCATGTCGGTGCACATCGCAGAGGCTGCTTGGGGACTGGTTGGCTGGTTGGGCTGAGTTTGAGGGCCCCTGGTGCCGGGGAACTTTTTCAGAGGGACTTGAGTTCATTTCGGGGCTCTGTTTGGTCGATCAATTTGTGCTTCCCGTGTCACTTCAAGGCGTGGTTTTGCAGTGCAAACTTAAGGTTGACAATGCCTGGTCCAAGTTGATCCTGCTTTTTGAGACCTCTGAATTTTGATTCAAAGAGCTCCAAGTTCAGTTTACATGCTTTGCCGTATGTTGGCCACAGATGGACATGCTTTTCACATTTTGCTTTTACGTTGGTGTGTATCTCATTGCTACGGACCCCCACATTTCGCAGCTTCAGAGGGCGCAAAGCCCATACTTTTTGGTACCAACAAACAGGTCATCCAGATCTTCTTTTGCGTTGTCGTGTCCATGCCCTTGATGCGAACACCTTTGCAGTGTCTTGATCAAGGGTGAGAAGCAATCATGAACTTGATCCAAGCATGGTTCACAATTTCAATGCACTGAAGACCACATTTTGGTTTTGCTTGGTCTCAGACGCCGCGGACCTAAGGATCTTGTTTCTGATCTTGGTGACAGATTTGCCCCCCTCCATTGCTCTTGGCATGGAACCGGGTGAAAGGACTGGTGCTGGAGCACACAACAAGTGAACTAAATCTGTGATTTGGATGTGAGCGTATGATTTTGCCGCATGTACTTAGTATACCGGGTATACCGCGTATTACTTATATGTAGTATTATGTAGTTATATATTATATATAACGCATATTTTCTTGTGCATATGAATTAGAAAGATAGAAACTGATACAAACACTATGTATACATATATATATATATTTACATATATATTTACATATATATATATATATACATACGTACATCCATATATACATATATAAATCAATGTGAGTGGGTATATCCTACAGGTACCTGGCTGAAGCACGGTGACCTTTGTTGCCAGGAACATCTTGGAGCAGCCTCCACGGCCCAAGGAAGAGCCCATCGCCCGGAGTCCCAGGGTAGTTGGTAAGAAATATGGGTTTCAAATGGTGGAAAGACCATGAAACATTTGGGAAAAATATTGGGTAGATATGGGCATATATATATATATACATATATATATATATTTGGGGATGGGGATAGATCTGATATGATCTGATCGAATCCATGCGCCGGAAATCTTGTTCGCAACCAGCACCCACGGGTAATTGGTTACATAGCGAACTGGAAAATTGCCATAGAAATCGATGATTTACCCATTGAAATTGGTGGTTTTCCATAGCTATGTCACAAATTACCAACCAGAATTTCATGGAACGACAGGGTTTTGCCAGCTCAACTGGAGATCTTCTTAGCGCTGGATGTGAGTTGCGAAACCTTGACACCGCCAAGTTGCCAATGATGGTCGGGGATAAAACCACCACTGGAGATTGCAGTTGCAGCAGAGATGGAGGAGCAATCCGATACCGGTGGAATGATACAGTAGTGGGGTAAGGGTCGCACTGGATGGTATGGTTATAGAAAAGGATCACAAGGTCATCCGCAAGTCTGAAAGATCTTTTTCAAAGCCCGCAGTTTTGAATCCGGAATGAGCCTCTTGTGAACAATGGCAACTGAAAATCTCCCATTTCATGGATGATTTAGAGTACATACATACTCTACATACATACCTATTGAATATGAGGATTTTTCCCCATGCCATCTGAAATTTTCAGAAGATCGGTTTGCCAACCAGCAATCTCTTAAACAAACCCGAGAGAACGACCGATTTCCCCAGGTTCTGGGCTGGATGTGGATCAGCATCTGCTTAAACGGCCTCATTTTGTCGGTGGTCATCATTGGGGTCTACGTGGTGAGCCTGCAGCACTACCTGGGGGTCGTCTTTTTGTCCGATATCTTGGAGAAGAAGAAGGGTGCCACTTGGGGGTTTCATGGGGTTTCCATAAATGGGGGTACCCCCATAGCTGGATGGTGAAAATAGGGAAGATCCATCTACAAATGGATGATTTTGGGGGTAGCCCTATATTTTAGGACACCTCCATATTGACATGAAAACTCCATGCCCAGGGCCCAGGCTTACCAGCCATGGCTTTGGTTTTGCTGTCGCTGGACTCAAAGTTTGTCAGGAACACCCTCCGAAGCTGAAATCCACGACATCGACATGAACCTCTCCAAGGCGCGAACCGTGGCCTTCATCTCCCTGGTTTTTTGCGATCTTTGGCCGCAAAGGGACCAGCCGGGACTGAGGAGCTGGTCAGATCCAGAGACCTGGGTAGAAGAACCCCCAGTAATGTGGGCAACCCAACCCAGCAAAAACCTACCATTGGGATGGTTTATACCGTTTATACCACGCATTTATGGTGATTTTGGGGATGGTTTATTATTGGGTTTACTACATTAGAAACCATCCCCAAATTGGGGGTCCACAAATTTAACACGCAACCAGATGTTGATGGCCTTCCTGGAATGAGCAGGCGTTCCAACTCTGTTTTTTTTTGTCAAACCATGTCAAACTGTCAAACAAGAAATCAGAGAGCTGTGCTATTTGTTGTAGAGCAGTTGCAACTTGGGGGCAGCTTTCATTACAGGGGAGTCATCACTCCACCCAAAAAGATCAAACAATCCAGCAACTGACAGGGGAGTGCTGCCTGACGGATCTAAGGAAAATGTCCGCGCCTACATTTGCCGATCCTTCAGTGAGCCCGTTTGGGTGGATCTCTGTACCAATTCTGTGATGCAACGGGCCGTGCTCATGGCCCAGGTGGAGGGGATGGGCTGTTCAGGAAAGCACTCATCTGGGTTTGTCTCAAAAAAACTGGGATCCCCCCCAGATTCTAGGGTATATCATCTCTTGAGGGGCTGGTGCTGAAAAAAACTCGCCCACAGCCATGTCTGTACTTCAAACCCATATTGCTTTGTCCATAAATGTGGCGTTGACCCCAACATGACAGTTTTAATGGGGACAATGAATGAACATGATGATAGTTCATAGGAATTGGGGGTAGCTCCATTTTCGGTGCATGTTGGTCATCACACACTTAAGGAGACCATGTGCTCCAAACATTATTGATTAATTCCTGGACCCCCCAAACAACCAGAAGTTCTGTCTATATATAGATGGTGGTCTTTCAAAACTATCTTTAGATATATCCTTAGGTTAATATGTAGAGACGTAGAGAGTCATCGCGATACTGAAGCAACCGTTCGAATCGACTTCTGGTTTGTTGGGAGTTCCAAGTTGATCCAAGTCGGTTCTTTTCTTTCAGATCTTTCAAAAGGGTTGGCTTCATTCTTGTCGACCTGGTCCTGATTGGATCATTAAAGGTCGTTTCAATGGCTTGAAACTAGGTCTGTTCTTGCCAAATTCCAGTTACAAAGGGGTTATGTTTCCATGAATTTGACATGGTTATACATGGTTATGGAAAAACCATGAAAAACCCACTAGAGTAGTCACCATTTGCAGATCATTTTTTCGTTTTGCGGGTTATTTTATGTTTTGCAGATCCACATCGATCTGAAATAACCTGGAGAGTGACCCAGTGAGACCCCCCGCAGGTGGCGATGCTCTGTGCTGTGCTGATCCCTTTCTTCTCCACGGATATCTTGGGACTGGATGGGCTCCACATTGGCTGGTGGGGATGGCTCTTCTCCCTAGTAGGCCAGGGACAATTTCTGGGATCTCTGCGAAACCAGGCTGGTATGGAGTAAACACATGGGATTTCCTCATGATTTTTTAGGGTTTCATTCTTCAACCCTGCGGATCTCTATCTGCAAGATGTCTCTTAGAGCTCGGAAGACAAGGGCTTCAGAGGTGGGGTATTTTAGCCCTGGCGCATGTAGTGGATTTGCCTGTTGGCATATGGGAACCTCTATCAAGCAACCAGCGACAGTTGATCACCTACTTGACCCGCCAATCCAACCTGGACCCCCAAGAAGGCAATTTCCAATGGGAAAATCACCTTCCAACAGCCTGACCTTTGGGGTTCCGCATGAGTTTTCAACAGCTCCAAGACCACTTGCCAAAAGGTCCAGCGGCCACACTTGTCTTGTGCGAGCTGAGCAAATTGCTGACCAAGTGGCAGATGAAACGCTTCTCGGTGGTAGTGTGAATGGGGTCACCAATAAAACATGGATGTACGACCCATTGAAATGGGGAAAGCAACACGCGTGGGGATGTTATCAATAATAGATTTGGCTGTGATTGGGATGTGGAGAGGTTCGCTCTTCTTGTGCTCTCCGCTTTAGGGAACCAATTTTGATATTGCTAGAAAACACTCCATCTGCTTCCCCAAAACAGACTTCAGTGTTAAGACTGGTAGGCAACTTAATGGGCTTTCTTACCCTCCGAGAGCAGAGTGATCATATGTTGAACAGCAAAAGACATGCTGGACAGGCTGGACAGAGGAGAACACGAGCAAAGAAAGGAATAAATATTATAAGACGAAGAAGAAAGAAGAAGAAGAAGACGAAGAAGAAGAAGAAGAAGAGGAAGAGGAAGAAGAAGAAGAAGAAGAAGAAGCGGAAGAAGAAGAAGAAGAAGAAGAAGAAAGAAGAAGAAGAAGAAACGAATAAGAAACGAAGAAGAACCAAAGAAGAACCAATGAAGAACCAATGAAGAATCAAAGAAGATCCAAAGAAACAAAGAAGAAACAAAGAAAAAGCAAAGAAAAAGAAAATAAACAAAGAAGAAACAAAGAAGAAACAAAGAATAAACAAAGACGAAACAAAGAAGAAACAAAGAAGAAACAAAGACGAAACAAAGAAGAGTCAAAGAAGAAACAAAGAAAAACCAAAGATGAAACGAAGAAACAAAGAAGAAGCGAAGAAACAAAGAAGAAATGAAAGAGCAAGAGAAAAACAAAAAACAAAAGCGGACCTGGAGGGAGTTGAACCCTCTCATCAATGTGCTTCAAGCCAGGGGCTTAAAAGACAACGCCTCACCCATAGGGCAACAGGTCCTTGTGTGCTGCGAACCACACTTCTCATTTGCCCTCTTCCAAACCGCCAGCTGTGAGTTCCAGCCATATGCTTTCAGGATACCAGCGGCAGTTGCAGCTGATGAGCGATGAAGGTGGGATTTTCCTGCCCAGGTTTGTGAGTCACGCCGAAAATGGGTTCGACAGATGATTTTCCTCTTCGACATGGCAACTTTTGGGTTCCATGGCATTCCGCAATATATTTAGGAATGTATCCTCTTAAAAATATCCATTCCACGCTTTGGTGTGAAAACCCAGGGCGCAGGTGCAAGGTAGCTCCCCTAGTTATAGCTTAATTTACGACCATGAAAATTTGAATCTATCAACTTAGCTAGCATTCATAGTTTTATTATATATAATTCAACTTAGCTATTGAAACTTATTGTTTCTTACAACCATAGTTTGATTTTAAGAAGCATCGTTTCTTAGCTTTCTGGATGGCACCACCCAAGGAGGGCACCACCCAAGGAGGGCACCACCTTGCAGGCGTCTCAGATGGGGAAGTGGATTCCTACGAAGATTCCACTGACTCAGACTTTGGGCGCTCCTAGCCGCAGGACCGGTAGGGGTCATATCAAAATACCCTCTGGTAATTTAACATAGCTATTGAACATGACCATTTATAGTGGATTTTCCCATTAATCATGGTGATTTTCCATAGCTATGTTAAATTACCAAAGGGTAGCTGCTAAATGGACGTGAATTCTGCCGCAAAGTTATGGTTTTTATAGGTGTAGATCCATAGCCAAATGGGGTATATACTCCTAAAGTCCAGTGGTTTGTCATCATTCTCCAATTTAATGATCATAATTTTCTCATCAAAATCGCCATTTTGGAGCATACCAGTTTTGGCCCAACACATTGATGCAGAAGTCCGGAGTTTTGTTCTTCGAAGACTCCAAGGGGTTCGGGGTCTTCTCTGGTTTCATGCTTTGCAGCCGCTGATTGCATCTTTGAGCCGGGAGGAGAGCTGTGAGAATCGCCTTTTCACCAGTTGTCGAAGTACAAAATATGTTCTGGACATTTGCAGTTGTTTATCCCTTGTTTATGTTGTTGTTTTTGTATGTTTTTGTTGACTCTAGGCCTCTGGTCAGGGCCTTCCTTACAAATGTGGGTATGTCTGAAAATGGGGTATACCCCCAATTATAGCCATTTAGTAGGGATAATGATCATTAACCATTGGGTGTAGGGGTACACTATTTTCAGACAAACCCATGTGTCAGCAGCCGATGTCGGGCTTTAAAGAGCTCACATTCGTGGCCGTACAGACCCACCGGTTGCCGTCCGTGTAGCCGGATCCAGAGAGCTGGTTCTTAAAGACACAGGGTCGGGTCTTTCCAAAGTGGACCCCAGTTGAGGATGTCTCAGTCATTGATGGAACATCAAATGGCTATGGATCAATACCTCTTAATACCATTTTTAGGGGGATGAACATCCATAAATCCCAGCTATTTTGATGTGAACTACAGGGATACAAGGTTTTGACACACTGCCAAATTAATGAATGGTTCAAGACATACTTCGCTTTGACAATGTTGTATTGGTCCGTTTTATTTTCATGTTTTATCCATAAATGGAAGGAATGATGAGGAATGCATGCATATAGTACATACAGTGTTGATGTATACGCTTCTTCCATCTACCCCATTAAAAAGTTGCTTCTTCGGGAGAAGCTAAGCCTGGCCAATGTCGAATCGTTTCTGTTTCTGAAGATCAAAACTTCTAAGGTCCCTTGAAGGACTTTGCAAACGAAGACTGTTGCAAGTATGAGATCATTTTGGAACCGACCGTGGGATTTGAGCTTCGTCATTTTGGGCGACACCACCGGGGACGTCTCGGGCGAGGGCACCCCATGGCAACACTGTAACACAACGCAACACATCGCAACACATCGCAACACATCGCAACACATCGCAACTTCAGAACTTCTGCAATCTGCAAAGATCTTAAAAGAGCCCCGGCAGCTGGGGTTTTTGAGACATCCATCCACATGTCCTGTCAATGCGTTCTTTGGCCAGTGATCTCTGTGTCCAACTTCCGTAGGGCTGTCAACACAGCCGACCTTTTGAGCTGACGCCTCGTGCAAATGTGATCATTTCTTGACACAAGCTCCAATCCTTGGTGGCCAAAAACAGTGCCCGGTTGCAGCTGTTCCTTTCCCAAAACAATCACCACCACCACCATCATTACCATGACCATCATCACCATGACCATTATCACCATCATGCTAATCATCCTAATCATTCTAATCATTCTTATCATGCCAATCATCTTTATCATTCGAATCATCCCAATCATCTTATTCATATTCATCACCATCATCATCACGAGTATCTGTATAACTCTCTAATCACCTAATAATATAATCATCTAAACAATCTAATCATATCATCGTATAACCATCATCACCGTGGCCATGGCCATCCTCATCTTCATCCTCATCCTCCTCCTCATCATCATCGTCATCATCGTCATCATCGTCATCATCGTCATCATCCTTCATTCATCATCCATCATCCATCATCCATCATTCATAATCCATCATCCATCATCCATCATCCATCATCCATCATCCATCATCATCATCATCATCATCATCACCATCACCATCATCATCATCATCATCACCATCACCATCACCATCACCATCATCATCATCACCATCATGATCATGATCATGATCATGATCATGATCATTATCATGATCATTATCACCATCATTATCATCATCATCATCATCATCATCATCAACATCACCATCACCATCACCATCATCATCATCATCATCACCATCATCATCATCATCATCATCATCACCATCACCATCATCATCACCATCACCATCACCATCACCATCATCATCATCATCATCACCATCACCATCATCATCATCATCATCATCATCATCATGATCATCATCATCGTCATCGTCATCGTCATCATCATCATGATCATCATCATCATCATCATCGATCGTCATCGTCATCGTCATCATCATCATCATCATCATCCTGATCATCATCAACATCAACCATACCTACGACCATAGCCATTACCAACCTCGCCAGTGCCCAACACTTATCACCGTCCCGCACCAATGTTCGCATCCTTGTGTGTCACATCATGCCGGATTCATGTGTTTTTCCGGATGCTCACACCAATTTAGTGGGAGCTTTCTAGACAGCCCAGGGCACTTTTTCGGCCTCGAAAGAATCCAAGCAGAGTTGGAAGGACACGTCATTTTCACGATGTTTTGCTTTCCTAATGATCAGTTTTGAACCATCCGCATCAGACCAAGGAGGTTTTGTTGCAAGGTTGGATGGTGGGCACGTTGCCATTTCCTCAAGCTTTGATGTGCACAGCCATTGGCCATCACAACGGTAGGACGCGGAGCCTCACATGGTAAAAACTGTGAGCTTGAAACGATGCCCGGACGACTAGGAAAGAAAGCAGCCTACGAAAAAATGCTTGGCAAAAAGTTCAGGTGCACACCCAAAACTGAGACCCATTTTTTTTGAACAGAAGCAACTAGCAAGCCAAACTTCATCTCAAGCTTGGCGTGTTGAGCGGTACAGCAGCCTGGTGTGTTTCCCGCCATTTGCAGCCATGGCCAAAGCCATAGGTGGGATGGGCTCTGCAAAGATTGTGTCAGCTGTGTGGTTTGGGCATGGCATGGTCAGAATTGATGAGCCCCGAAACTTGGTTGCCAATACTGACTCATCCTGATCAAAGCATTTCCTCCAGCCTGATTAAAAAAGCCAGAGGGTGGATGACCCCAACAGCCTTGACAGCAACTGAAAAAGATTGAATGAATCGCACTACCAGGTGTTGGTTTCAACTATGTACTGTCCTTTTGTGTTTGAGGTATCACTGATATCTCATGATACTGTACTCTTGCTGCTCCACCCCCCAATGTTATGTTAATCGTTAACCTTCACAAAGTGCACAGATCAATGTTTGTATATGTTGGATTATGTTGGTATACATATTTGAATGTGTCGGTCACCAATTTCGCTGATTTTGCTGAGATTGCGACCCATTTGATCGACGGGTTTTCCAGCCGTACCCCGTACGATCGGGTTTGTGGAGCCATAGCTCAGCCAATTGTGGGCAGTCTGCTGTACTCCCTGACCATTTGCAGGGTTTGGGGCCTTACATTTCATAGGGTAATAGACGTCACAAAATGGTGTCGGCCTGAATGGTGGGGCTATCCAGCCCATTTTTTGCGGAGAGCTTTGGTGCTAAGTTGGGGGATTAGCTCAGTGATTCCCACCAAACCTACAGTAAATATAAGTAAATGGTTTCTATATAGGAAGATCTATGATCCCATGACCAAGTGCTTGGATGATCCTCAGCTCCAAATTGGAACCTGGATTGGTGGTTAGCGGTGGACTCACCGCTGTCAGGCTTGGGATGGTTGCTGCTGTCAAGCGTCCTGCGGTTGAGCGCATCGGACACGCTGGATA